AACCAATCGGTGTCCAGGGATTGTGTAAGGAGATGGGGACTTAAGCTTTGTGGACTGTGGAACTGCGTTCTTTTCTCTTCTGCATTATTTTCTCTCACAGAGTTAAGCTGAGGGGACAGTCTGGTCTGAGAGAAAGATCCCTCACTTGGGACAGAGTGAGTACAGGCACAGGCTTGGTATAAAAGGCTGTGGGCCTTGAATAGTAACCAGTTAAGAGAAATAGGTAGCTGCGTTAGATTTATTTTGCCTTTAGACACTGTTATATATTTTAAACACCTTGTCTTGTTTTCCTTGCCCCATTACTGTATTAACAAAGCATTTGTTTAATGTTCTCTGCCTGGTCATCACCTCTATATTTCTCGGCTTAAAAGGGGCATTTTGGTTGGGCTTGGGAGGGTACTCTGGGCCTTCCCAAGGGACCATAAGTCCAGAGTGGTGGCAGAGGAAGGTGGCAACCAGTGTTCCCTCTGAGGTAGTGTGAGCTAGCTCACAGTTTTTTAGCCTCCAGCTCACACCTTTTCGTCTTAGCTCAGGAAGGAGGGCCCCAGAGCAAACCAATTTATGCAGTAGCCAAATCGCTCACTCACAACTTTAATACCAGTAGAATTTCTGCTCACAAGACTCGACAGCTTAGAGGGAGCATTGGTGGCAACCCACTAGGGGTCATGAGAAGTTGAAATCTAAATTCCCATGACCTGCTCAAGTGTTACTATTAAGCCCTTACCTGGATAGTGCAGGCAGGCCCAAACTTGTCAGATCTTCGATGCTCAGCAGGGCCAACCCTGGCAAGTACTTGGAAGGGAGACCTCCAAGGAATACCATGGCTGGGATGCTGATGCAGGCAATAATAAGCCACCTTTCTGAAACATCCAAGCCCCACTAGGGGTTGCCAGAAGTGAACCATGACTTCCAGGCACACACATACACAGACTCACCCCCCCCAAAAGTGTTACAATTATGAGATTGTGCCTTGTAGCTTTTTCTATATCTTAACACAGACCTGCACAACTTGTGATTGTCTAAGTTGAACACAGCCTACTAGCAGGAGTACTACCTACTGGAGAGCCAGCGTGGAACAATTCTTAAGAGTGCCAGATAAGGCTCTAGGATGCCCAGGTTCAAATCTCTATTCTGCCATGGAAGCTGGCTGGGTGACCTTGGGCGGATCACACACTCTCAGCCTAACTACCTTGCATGGTGGTTCTTGTGAGGACAGGAGGAGACGATGGTATCGTAAGTTGCTTTGGGTCCCCTTTGAGGAGAAAAGTGGACAACAAACAAGAATATGGGCTCCCAAAAGATATCTCTGGAGTCTCTCCTCAGATCCAACACAAACATCCTATAAACCAGATCACATCTCCTCTGGCCCTGGAATGTTGTCCCCCAACTCCCCCTCTTGGCAATCCTGCTAAGGAGCCACGTATTGTGGCCTATCAGGTGTTTGACAACTTCATCCTCTTGCCCTTTTCCCTGCAGTCAAAACAGGTGGAGACTGGTGGTACTCTTGGTGGGCTGTCATATTTGACACCTAATAGAGGGTGGATCTTGGTGGATTACTGCTGGCTTCTCTTAGTGTAAGAGCACTAGTACATGTGTGTGAGATGCAGATAATGCACTGGCATTTCTGAACTAACTCATGTAAACAGCATGGACACACAACAACCATGAATGCTTGATCCCAGAGGCAGATCATCCCTATAGTCAATGATACCTTTCCCAGGGGTGAAAGCAACATATTCTTACAGCTTGACGTTGATTGCAGGGTTGCTTTGAGAAAATGGGTCTTTAGGGTTTTGCCTCCAAACCCCTTTCAGTGTTTCCATTCAGCCCCTGGAGTGTGCGTGGTTTCTCTGACTTGGTGAAAAATGTCCCATTCTCATTGCCGTAAAATCACAGTGAAAGCTCTGATGGTCAGAGTTCAGCTGCCAGTAGCACAGATCCCCTCCTTTGTGTTCTGCATCCCTCTGACTGCACCAGCTTTTGTTCAGAAATAGCACTTAAAAGAGGTCTCCTCAGTGGATCTCTCAAAAAAGTGGGATTCCTTTTCTGTTGGAGAGAAGTCTGAGCGCTATCTTCTTGGCTTGGTAGAAGGTAAATTTTTTTGTTGTATTTGTTTGTATGTGTGTGCCTGGAAGTCATGGTTGGCTTCTAGCATCCCCTAGTGGGGCTTGGACATTTCAGAGAGGTGGCTTACTATTGCCTGCCTCTGCGTCCCAGCCCTGGCATTCCTTGGAGGTCTCCCATCCAAGTACTTGCCAAGGTTGGCTCTGCTTAGCTTCTGAGATCTGATGAGACTGGGCTTGCCTGGGATTTCCAGGTCAGGGCGAAGTTGGTTAATAGTTTTTGTACAACCACGAATGAAACGCCGGTCATTATTCAGAGGATAGAAGTAAAAGAAAGAGGACTTTGGAGCTGTAGAACAGCCCAAGGTCTTCCACCTGTACAACTAACTTGCCTAATTCTTGGTCACAGTAGCATGATTGGTGACAATCCTGAAATGTCCCCAGCAACCCCTCCCCCACTTCATGCTTGGAGGCGGTTGCACTTTTTTTGGGTGGTGGGGGAACCTTATGTTCACCAATAAAAGGAAAAACATGATGTGGTGGAAGGAAGCGGCGTTAAGTCGCAGGTGACTTAACCTGCAGGGTCTTCAAGGCAAGAGACATTCGGAGGTGGTTTGCCCCTGCCTGCCTCTGGTGGTGACCCTGGCCTTCCTTGGTGGTCTCTCATCCAAATACTCCCCAGGGTTGACCCTGCTTAGTTTTGGAGATCTGACAATTTTAAAAAAAGGGTTAAGAGGCTGCCCCTCCCTGCCACCTTTTCTGTTTAAACTGACAGTCTATTGGGCTGCTTTTCCTCAAAAAGAAACCCTCGGAGACGGCGACAGGGGTCTCAGTGAGTGTGATGGCTAGTTTGGCCCTGAGGAAGACTTTATTCTCCTTTGCAGCTGGTCACCCTTCTTAGGGGTACTTAGGGGTAGAAGGAATGCCTGCCAGGTAAGCTCGCTAACGTTAGAAAACACCAACATGTCATCAATGTAAGAGCTGTACAAACACTGAAAGTTAAACTAAGCAATATCTGTGGCCACTGCCAGCAAATTGGCTGTGGAAAACAGACCTTCTCGAGAGACCTTGGTAAGAAGAAGGATGCCGATGAGAAGGATGCGGGCTGCCTCCGGGAGGTGGCGCCAGCGAGCCGCACGGAGCCGCCGCCTGTCTTGCTCCCTCCCTTTGGGCTCGCACGTGGCCGCCGCCTCCTGGGTGAAAAGCCGCCAGCCGCGTCGCGCTGGATTCACTCGGCTTTGCAAAAGTGGACAGCGCCGCGTCCTTGGTAGTTCGCGGGAGCAGCCGCCGCGAGGCCCGAGGCCGCCGCCGCGAGGCCCCCTTTGCACGGGCTGAAGGGGCGAGGCGAGCGGGAGGAGCGGCGGGCAGCCAGCAGGATCCTCTCCCGGGACGCAGGGAGGATGGCAGCGAGGGATGAGCCAAGTTAAGGCGTGGAGGAGCAGCGGGAGCTCTTTCGGGGCGTGGGGGGAGGCGGCGGCGGTGGCTTGCAGCAGCCCCGTCCAGCTGCCGGCGCCGCTGGATCTGTAGGCGAAGGAGCCAAGCCCACTTCTGCAGGAGCCGATCGCGCGGACTGGGCGGAGGGGGCGTTTACCTCTCCCGACCTGCGTGCTCTGCAGCTCGACCCCGCTTCTGCCTCCGCTGGGGAACTGTGGCTCTCGCAGGCGTGGGAATACCTAGCCCCCCCAGCCAGGACCTGCGGGGTGGGATCTCCGCGCCTAAACCGGCCAATACCTGGAGAGGGCGCCTCCCTCCTCCTCCCCCCCCGGGGGGTGAGTAGGGGGGGAAGAGAGACGATATCTGCGCCCCAGAGAAGCTTCGACTGGCTGGACCTGGGTGTCTGTGGCGGGAGAGCAGCTCCTCCTCAGCGGGTGCGCGGGGCGGAATCGCGCCACTCCCCGGGGCCCCGCCGTCTGAGCGAGGCGCAGCCTTGTCTGCTCTAGCGAGAAGACGCAGACCTCGCCTAGGAGCCGCCGCTCCCCTGTAGTGTCTCCCCTCAGAAGACATTTCTCGCGTGCCGGTTTCAGAGCCCCGCCTGGGTCTCGCTAAGCCCGGGAGGTGGCAGTTCCCGAGTGGGGAAGGGCAAAGGCGTACTGGGGAGCAACAGACGAGTCCAGCGGCAACTTTCAAGAGTAGCCACATTTATTCCGGCATTTGCAAGGACTGTTGGGCGACAGTCTGAGGGTGGGAGGAGGACCCGCTCGGCGCTCGCCCACCGTCGGCGATCTTCTGACCGACTCCAGTCGATCGACTTGGTTTTGTACCAGAAAAGTAAAGCGACGCGCACGCCCCGCCTTCCCGCCGCCGGCTCGGAGGTCCCCTCCCCACGGGATTCGTCGGGGAGCCTCCGCTTCGCCTCGCGTCACTCTCGAGGCAAGGAGGGCGCGAAGAACCCGCCAGTCCCTCGGAGGATTTCTCGTGGCGCCCGGAGGAACTCGCCCGGCAGAGTCTCCGAGGCTGCGGACTATTAGTCGGACTGCCTGGAGCCGGGGAAGGCGCTGCTCGGCTCTCCCCCCCCCCTCTCTTCCGTTGCCAGGGGGCCCTGCTCGCGAAGTCGCGCCGACATCCAGAAAGACACGGCGGAGGAGAAAGCGGCTGCCCCACGTAACCCGCCCAATAATGTCTCTCTCCGCCAAGGGAGTTGCTTTCTCCTTCTAAACGGGCTACAGCACAGCATAAAAGTACTTATTTTTTAAAAAGGAAAAGTTTGACCCGCTGGTATCCCCTGCTCTGCAAAGGTCTACTTGCTAAACTCCGAGGTCACTCCGGTTGCTTGCAGAGATCGGAGCCGCCAAGGGGAGGTTGTGTCGCTTGAGGGGGGAAAAGGGAGTCTTGGCCCGGATTGGAATTGGGGCGTCCTCATCGCCGAGATCCGTCCGTCGCCTCTAGACCAGGGAGAATTCAGACTCTCTTCCCCCTCGGAGCCCTTCCGCCGCCAGCATGTCTAAAGTGGCGGCGGCCGGAGCTGCAGCCGCGTCGGCGGCCGGAGCGGAAAGTTGCGGGGCGGCGCCGGCCGAAGACCTCTCCAAGGTGTCGGACGAGGAGCTCTTGAAGTGGACCAAAGAAGAGCTCATCCGCAGCTTGCGCAAGGCCGAGGCGGAGAAGATGAGCGCCATGCTGGACCACAGCAACCTCATCCGCGAGGTCAACCGGCGCCTGCAGCTGCACCTGGGCGAGATCCGGGGGCTGAAGGTAAGGCGGCGGCGCCCCCTTGGAGCCAGGGAAGGGAGGGCGGGGGACAAGGCGGTGGGGGCTTTGCAGCTAGCCTGAACTTCTGCCCTCTCTCACAAACCTGGTCAGAGGAATCTGGGTGCTTGGAGTGGAGAATCCAGATGGGGTGCCTCCTTCCTGCTAACTGACCTCCCTCCTGGAGGTGATTTCCTCAGCTGAAGGTGGATTGAAATGAATGATACCAAAACTCACCCTCCATTTGCTCTTGTGGGATTTTTGGTGCAGAACTTCCGGGAAGGTTGTGCTTTACTGGTAAGATGGCACTTCCACCTCTGTCCTCTTTACTGGTGCCCCAGAATCTGCTGGTGGAGGTAGTTGCTTGCCTCAGGGCAGTGCCGTCTTTGCTTAATTGCTCTGAAAGCAGGACTGGGCCTTCCCTGCTGCTTCCCTCCCCCTTTTAATTTGCTAGGGCTCAGCTTCGGGATTTGTTTGGTAATAGAAGCCCTCAGAGGATGTGCAGAGTGCATTTCCATCACAGCTAAGTACCGCCTTAAGTGTTACTTCATCACCTGGTTGTAGCGTTCTAGGAAGTGTACCCCCATGTATAAGCAGTGAAAAATCCCTGGCTTGTGGAGTTTGCTCATGTGTTTTGCTGCTTGTGCGTGGGGGGTACACCACCCAGAACGCCCTAGCCTGTTCTGGGTTTCCAGTGCATGCTGATATGGTGGAATGCATACGTCTGCAGCTGGTTCATCACAGTGTAATGCTTTTGTATATATGTGTTTTCAGTCTTTTGCATCTCTCCAATTAATGGGTCTTGGGTAGCAGGACTTGGAAGGAGCACCTTGGCATGATCAGGAGCAGCCCTGGAGTGAACACACTCCGGGGAAGTTCTGCAAATGGGGATTCCAGCCCTGTTATGCAACCGTGATCCCTTTGGGGAGGGACGGTGGTTCAGTGGCCAGGCACCTGCTATGCATGTAGAAAGTTCAGTCTCTGGTTGAAAGGGCCGGGGTGTGAGAGAGCCACTGTAAGTCAGGGTAGATAGTACGGATCTTGATAGACCAGTAGGCTGAGTCAGTGTAAGATATGTTCTCCTGAGAATGTGGAGAAGAATTGCTGGTGAGAGTAGGTAATACTGGGTGAGTTGGAAATTGATCTGTTTTACAGTCAGGCTTCTGCTTCATCTATCTTAGTCCTTGTCCCAACCTGAAATGAAGCCTGACTGATTTGGTGGCCTTTTCTGTATTTTCCTTTCCTGTGTGTTCCTACTGTGCTTTCCCTGCTGGTGATATTTCAATTGTAGGCTCCTTGGGGCAGAGATCTGCCTTTAAAAAGCACACCGTACATTGCTCTGCAACTATATGGTGAGCACTGTCAATAAATGTCTGGAAATGGTAACCTTAAAGTATGGTGAGCACTGTAAAAAAAAATGCCTGGAAATGGTAACCTTAAAGTAGGCAAGTGTCCAGTCAGAGACAAGCAAAAGCGAACTCAGGGATCTTGCTTTCTGGGTGGGAGGAATCCTGCAAGGAGTCCTAGGATTGTATTGCATTGAACACATTATGTGGCGTAGACTCAGGTCAGCATCTGCTCCCTGCCTCCGTGAGAGCCCTGCAAGTGATGACCTGTTCGTTGGTTGAAACCCGGTGTGGTGTGGTTGGAGTGTGAGACTAGGCTCTGGAAGACCCAAATTTGAAGCCACACTCGTGCCATGGAAGCCTGTTGGGTGAGCTTGGACCAGTCACACACTCTCAGCTATCCTACCTCACACGGTTGTTGTGAGGTTAGAATGGAGGAGAAGAGACTAATGTCTTTGATTCCCTATTTGGGAGAAGGGTGGGGATGTAAATGAAGTAAATAATGCAAGTGGTCGGACTTTTGTGAGAAGAAGATATGGGATTTATGCCCCGCCCTTCATTCAGAGACTCAGAGTGGCTTACAAACTCCTTTCCCTCCCCCTCCCCACAACAGACAACCTGTGAGGTAGGTGGGGCTGAGAGAGCTCTTTAGCACAGCGCCAGATGCTAAATCTTGCTATTCTGGTGTCCAGAATTGGGGCTGCAGCACTGAGTCTTATATCACTTATTTTGTTTTTACTTCACACTCCAGTATTGGGGAACAAGCCACATATGGAAGATCAATGTTGGAATGTTCAGTATGCACTGATTCTGTGGGAGGCATTGCCTGCAAACAGGAGGCTGGACTTCTCCATATGCTCACAGAGCTTTCCTGCAAAATCCCAGTGGATTTTACAGTGCTGCATAATCTTTTTTTAAAAAAAGAAAACCATGAATAGAGGAAGGATGCTTGGTCAGAACAGGTACCTGGCAAATTAAGAAGAGAAAGAACAGATGGGGAGAATCAAGAATCAGCGGGAAGGGGGGCTTTGCAAGAAAATTGAGGGATGGTGTGAAGACTTAGAGCCAAAACAGGGACTTTCCTGACAACTGGGAATGTTATTATATAAATTAGCCTATATCCCCTTCCCAATGGGGACTCTGAGAGGCTTACATCATTTTCCCTTTCACTATTTTATGACAGTCAAGAGGAGAAAACAGCTACGTTTTGTGTCACCTTATTAAAGACCTTGAACTGTAGCTCTGTTCACACATTACAGTGAACACACGTACAATCCATGTACTGTGTATGCTTGATTTTTCTTTATATATGTATTAAGATATTCTATGCATGTACAGCTGAATATGTGATTGATCCAACTACTGGTCCCTGTTTTCAGTTGCAAAGTGAATGTGCTTTGGGTCTTTCTTACAACCATATCCGTATACAAGCAGGATGTACGTGCATTCACTGTAACTTGTGAACAAGGCTTGTATTGTAGGTGCATAAAATATGGGAACATAAAGTGTACACGCAGTGCAAGAGAGCAACTGAGGTCTCCCCAGGAGAAATTGGCATGGGAATGATCTGCTTTTGACTGGTGATGGATAGCCATGGTGGTGGAAAGGGCTGTCAAGTCGCAGCCGACTTGAGACAACCCTGTAGAGCAGAGGGTCAGATCTGACGTAATTTTTTAAAGAGGGTCAGATATGATGTAAATGACACTTTGTTGGGCTGGGCCATGTGTGCCATAAAACTTAATGCCAGGTACTGGATATATAAACGGTATGAAGGAGAGTAGCTCGTAAGCTCCGAGTTGGTGTATCCTCACTGCAAGGTCCCATGGGCTGGGAGTGGGGTGCAGAGGAAAACTCGCATGGGCGGACCGGAGAGCCGGTGGTACAGCACTGGGCAGACGTTACTGTGCTACTTGACTTCTGCCGATGAGGTTGTTCTGCCATGCTGAAGCCACAATCGGAGTGGCTTTACCCACTCCCCTCCCCGAGCAGTCTTCCCTCCCTTGCGCTTGTTGCTCATGGGCTGCATAAGAGCCCTAGTTGCCCCTGGGCCTTATGTTTGGCACCCCTGCATAGAGTTTTCAAAGCAAGATACAGATAGAGATGGTTTGCCAGTGGCTTCCTCTGCATAGTGACTCTGGACTTCTTTGGTGGATCCCCATCCAAATACTAACCCTGGTTAGCCTCTAAGGGCTGACAAGATGGGGCTGGCCTAGGCTATCCAGGTCAGGTCATAGCCATAGAACACTAAATAGAGTAAATCAGCTTTCAAAGGGCAGGGGGCAGTTGATTTCTGTAGAGAGCCCACCTCTCCCAGCAGGTTTTAAGACAGAAGGGCTTCTTTAGTGTCCCTGGATGGTCAGGCGATCTCACCCAGGCAGATGACAGAGCTTGACCTGCTTAGCATTAGCAGGGGAAATGTTGTGTGTCCTTCAGGTCACTCTGTGCAGAATGCCAGCTTGGATTCCTCCATGGCCCCTGCTCACCTGGGTCTGCTTTCCCTTTCCTCTCCTCGGCTGATTGAGTGCAGGTGGGGCAGTCCAAAGAGCCATTGGGGGCTCACCCAGCCTTGTGAATAGATCCACAATGGTTGCTAGGCCAACAAGTTTCGCGTTGCCCACCTTGCCTGTGGAGGGCCGATGTGGTATAGCAGTTAAAGTGCCAGACTGGCATCTGGGAGACCCTGGCTCCAGTCTTCACTCTGCCGTGAAGCCCCCCCCTTTGGCCAGCCATTTTGTCTTGAAGCTTTTTGTGAGACTAAAGTTGGTGATGGGAGAGCTGTACATGGGGCCCTGAGCTTCTTGGAGGGAAAGCAGGCTTAGACACACAGGAGGTAGCTATCCCGACATCCATCTTCTCTGGGCTTCAAAGTGTGTTATCAGTTGTTTGGATTAAGAGCTTTCCTATCTTGTTGCTTGGAGTAAATTTATAACTCTCCCGCTGGCGAAACAGCCATCTTACCTATGCAGACTTTAAAAAGCCTTTGCGGAATGTGCTACTCGTTGGGACTCTATTTGTGTCCTAGCCTAATTTCTTTAATTAACTTTGACGGAGTTTGCAGCTTTTATACTTTTATTATTATTTCCCGAGGGGTAGCCATGCAGCGAAACGAAACAGAAGTCCAGTGGCTCCTTAAAGTCTAACAAAGTTTATTCCAGCATACACTTTTGGGAGTTGGACCTCGCTTGTCTTAGATGTGTAGGCCTCCGATTTCCATATTTCCTGCCAATACACATCTGATGCTGTGAGCTCTGGCTCCTGAAGACTTGTGTAGGAGTAAACTATGTTAGTCCTTAAGCTACCGCTAAAGTTCTTTCTCTCTTTTTAAAATGTGGCTCTCATCGCCAGATCCCTTGCCAGGTGATGCCTTTGCAACAGACAGCTTACGCTGTTCTTTGCAGTTTCTACTTATGTTCAAGGTGATGGGCTGTATGTGGCAAAAAAAGTTCCTCTGATTACACTGCAAATGGTTTGCAGATTGATTGATTGTCTGTGAATTGCAGCCCCCCCCCTCTCTGATGCTCTGTGCTCTGATGCCACCTGGAGAGAGAGAAAGGAGAGAAGAAAGAGTTAAAAACCTGCCATCGAGTCTTTCTGGGTGCTTATATTTAGTAGTAGCCCTGGCCAGCTATTGATCTGCTTAGAGGAGGAAGGAAATAAAACTCTGAAACGATGCACTCAATTGACCTGGTGATAGGAAGGGAGATAACTAAGGCTCCAGTGACATGCCTTTGTGCGGCTCTATGATTTGTTCCTCTGCGTTTTTCTTTTACAACCCAAAGTAGGACAGGTGGAGAAATGTTGGTTTTATTCTTTTCCCCTTCTGTTACTTTTTTCCGTCTCTTCCCAGGCTTCTTTTTAACCTAGAGAGGGAAGGTATGAGAAACATATGGGGCTCCATATATTCTCCCTCCCTAACAGGATAGGGAGGGAGATTTTGATCAGAAAAAAAGGACCTGATAAGAAAGGGTTAAGCACAGCCTGTGGTCTCCTGTTCTGTGTTCCAACTCCCAGTCTGCCTGCTCTGGGGTAATAAAAGGATGATGCTACAGAAGAGGGCTTCATAGACAATCATGTCACCATGTGTCACTTGAGCCAGAGCCTTGGGAACACTGTTGTAAAGACAGAGATGAACCGGGGGCATTCAGACAGGTTTCTCTTCATTTTGCAGTTTACTGCTAGTTTTCTTTTTATGCTGGAGGGCTGACAGGGTTTGGTCCTGTTTGGAAGAATGAAAGAGTTTGGCCCAAGCTTTTCCTTCTGGCTCTATCTATAACTATCTGAATTCTGGAGCAAGAGAGAGGCAAATAGCGAAAGATTAATTTAACCCCCATGGCTGGAAGGGTAAGACTCAATCTCTTCCTCGATCTACTTTGCGAGGGAGATAAGAGCAAGCCTTAAAAAGGTTTTTATTTTCCTTCCTAAGGACAGACTGTTGAGTTAACCTCATGCTTGTTGCCTCGCTGTGATTATTTCTCCAAGTTTCTGCAAAAAGGATTCACTCTAGGCTTTTCAGAACCTTTGATTGGGCAAAGTTTGCACTGGCAGGCGTATATCTGCAATCCAGGCCATTCTGTTGCAGCTGGCTAGGAGCAGCAAATCAGGACAGCCTACTCTGTCTTCTGAATTAATTTAATACATTACAGCCTCCCCTGGGTTGCCTTCCTGCAAATAAACTTACTTGTTTCCAGGTGCTTCTTCATATGGTCAGGTTGATAGGGAAAATGTTCTTGGTGGGAAGTAAAAAGTATTTTTTTAAATTAAATTTTAAAAGATACTTTTAATTTTGAAGTGCAGCTAATCTGGGATGTCTCTGGGATGAACTGTAGACTTTTGCCAGTTGTCCAGAATTCAGGAAACTGAAATCCTCACAAAGTCAAGGGGGCAGGGCTGATGCTTAGGGTTGTACAGCATGCTTGCCCAATCTCCCCCTTGTAAGATGATGGATGTGGATGGATTGAGAAAGGTGTAACCATTTTTAGAATTGCACTATAAGACTCAGATGCTATGGAGGCAAGCCATGCATGAAAGAAATGGAAAGAATTGTGTGTCCCTTGTGTAGGCAGAGGCTGCGGTGCATCTTTTGGTTATGATGGGCTGCTGATGTACACACAGAAGCACACTGCGCATGTATCCACCCCCATGTGGGGTAGGCCGCTCAAAGACAGGTGGCTGGTAGGGTTAGCTCCCACTGCAACGCTTTCCTCCAGTTCAGGATGGTATTTTCCCCTGTGCGTAAATGGCAGCTGTCATTAGAGTAGGTGGTAGACCTTGGTAAAGATCTCTGCTCTATCCTAGATTGCAGCCCATTCGTACTTCCTGTAGAGCTTAATGGATGGTGTTGACATTACGAATTCAATTCTTAGTGCAGTTACACTTCAGTGGACTTAGACGGGTGTAACCGTCTAGGATTACATTGTAGGAGTGTGGCAGAATCTTGGGAACTTGTTTTTCTTACATGCAAAAGCCCTTCATGGCCTTGGCCCCTCTTATTTGCGGGGCCACCTCTCTCCCTGTGCTCCGCAGCCGTGACAGCTTTGCTCAAGTCAGCAGGGGCTTCTGCAGGGGCCAACTCGAAAATGGGCAAAATCAACCACTGCCTGTGTACCTGTTTTCTCTGTTGTGGCTCCCCCTTTGTGGGATGGCCTGCCTGAGGAGGTCAGGAAAGCTGCCAGTTTCCTGCCCTTCCACAAACTATGCAAAACTGAGCCATTCAAGAGGGCTTTTCTGCACGGATAGCTGGGTTTCACAGCACAAAATGGTTTTACAGACTTGCTTGGATAAATGATTTGGGGCTGTGGTCTGCACTCCTGTGTTCATCTTATTGTAAGTAGCATCCTATTTATGTGATTTCTGTACCGCTTTCATGTTTCATGTGAATACTTGGGCTATGCTTCAGTTCTTCCTGATGGCTCCAGGCTTCTAAAATCTTAATGTTTCAGGTACTGAGTGCCCAGTTTTGTTGACTGTACTGGCTCACTAGGTGTAGTCCGCCTTGAGTCCCTGTGAGCAATGCTCCCTCTAAGCTGTGGAGTCTTGTGAGCAAAAATTCGACTTTGTGAGCTACTGGCATTAAAGATGTGAGCAAACAATTTGGCTACTGCAAAAATTAGTTCACCCTGGAGCCATCCTTCCTGAGCTAAGACAAAAATGTCTGAGCTGGAGTCTAAAAATCTGTGAGCTAGCTCACACTAACTCAGCTTAGAGGGAACACTGCCTGTGAGGGAGGTGAACTATAAATAAAGTAAACAAAAAACGAATTTTTGTATATTCTGTGTAAACCTGAATATGGCCATAAAATAATTTCAGTAACTTATGCCAGTGCTGATACTTTGTATCCACAGTCCCCGGCCATCCAGAATTGTCCTTGTTCTTTTGCAGCATTGTTGATTCTAAATTAGCCTGGTAATTCCATGGCAAGAGAGAAAGGTAGATGAAAGGTTTGTGAGCCCTGCTGTCTCTGCTGCCCTAATGTGTTGTCTGTAGCAAAGAATGTTTATTAGCCCGCAGTCTTTCCTTAGTAATGTATTTGTTGTTTATCTCTTTGCCTGTCTCTTTCGAAGGACATCAATCAGAAACTGCAGGAAGACAACCAGGAGCTGCGAGACCTTTGCTGTTTCTTGGACGATGACCGGCAGAAAGGCAAAAAGGTTTCCCGAGAGTGGCAGAGACTTGGCCGCTACAGTGCCGGTGTCATGCATAAAGAGGTTGCCTTGTATCTGCAGAAACTGAAGGAGCTGGAAGTGAGGCAGGAAGAGGTGGTGAAGGAGAACCTGGAGCTGAAGGAGCTTTGCGTCCTGCTGGATGAAGAGAAGGGGGGTGTTGTGGGGTGCCGGAACTCAGTCGATAGCCAGGCCAGTCTCTGCCAGCTCAGTGCCACCAATGCGTACATCAGGGATGTTGGGGATGGAAGCAGCACCTCCAGCGCTGGAAGCACAGATAGTCCTGACCATCACAAGCACCACCTAAATCCAAGTCCCGAGCACCTCCAAAAAACAAGGAGTGAAGGGAGCCCCGAGCGTCAGAAGCACAGGAGCGCTAGTCCAGACCCCCTCCACAAACCCAGGAGTTCTGCGAGTCCGGATCCCCAGAAGCATCTGAAAGGACTGAGTCCGGAGCATCACAAAACAATTGGCAAAGTCGCCCCTGAACAGCAGAAGCACGGCTGTAGCAGTCCGGAAACCCTGCCCAAGCACATGGTGAGTGGTAGCCCCGAACATTTTCAGAAACACAGGCCCGGTAGCAGTCCGGAGCACCAGAAGCACAGCAGCAGCCCAGAGCATCTTCAGAAGCACACTCTGAGCGGAAGCATGGAACATCTCCCCAAAGTGAGGGGCACCAGCCCTGAGCACCTCAAACAGCATTACGGGGGAAGCCCGGAGCATCACAAGCACTTGAGCGGAGGCAGCAGAGAAGGCACTTTAAGGAGGCAAGTCGCAGATGACCTGTCCCCCCAGCACAGAAGCCTCTACAATGGCATGAACGGTGGGTCCTTCTGTGGGTTACCATTAGTAATGATGATGGTTTTAGAGATAGTTGGCAATGCACTGCCATATTTGTGGTGGTCATCATGTTCAGGATGATGATGTGTTCACAGTGCAACGCTTCTCTTCCGCAGTGAAGCAGAAGGGGATGCCGTGGATGTGGAGTGGTGTAACAGGCTGTGTGGCAGTTATGTCTCATGGGGTTTATGTGGATGTGGAAACAAGGAGGCATGGAAAGGGGTATCCCTTGAGGATGAAGTTAGCTTAAGGTGTCCAGAGCCTGAGTGCCCACAAGGGTGGATAGGGAAGAACAGAGGCCAGTGGATGGGTGAATGCAAGTCTCTCTTGCACAATTCAGAGTAAAGCTTGCAAGGGAGGATCTGTGCAGCCAGAGTTGATCTGCTGCCTTCACGCTGAAGGTGCCTTGCAGACTTCTCTTGAACTGATAGATGCATAGTGAAAAAACCCTCTATAGTGAGGGGAGAATGCACATTTACTGAACTTCTCCTTGCTGTATACAGTTCTCAAAGCTGTAGGAGATTTTGGGGGCCTTTCTGAGGCCCAGACTGTACATCACATTTTGCTGTGGGTTGGGACAGGGTTCACCTGACTTGCACCCCATGAAGTCAGACAGCAGCAGTGAGAACTTACTTTCCAAGTGCTGCAAGGCCCGATTCGAATCTGGACAGTGGCATATGGGGATGGTGATGGTGGGGAAATGGGCTTCTCCTCTAGTGAAATAGGGACATGACAGAATCAGAAGGATGGATTCTTCTTATGCAGGTCCTGTGATTCTGAGCAGCGATCAGTGGCTCCAGTGTGGAGGGGTTTTCTTGAGGGGGAACACCCAGTCAGTCTTGGCGGACTCATAGGGTATCTCTTCTACACTCTCTAAGCTTCTGTGGTGTGTATTAAGTCACAAGAGTAGTAGCTTACTGATGTTTTCCTAGCATCCTTAGAAATAGATTCCTTGACTTTTAGCCTCTGAGATGCAGCATGCAAGAAACAATTGTTTCTTGAATATTTATTTATTCCTTGTGTGGGTGTGTTAAATGTTGTCAAGTTGCATCTAATGGTGACCCCAGCAAGGGGCTTTCAGGGCAAGTGAAAAGAAGCAGTGGTTTGCCGTTGCCTTCTTCTGCTGAGTCTTCCATGGTGGTCTCTCTTCTAAGTGCCAACCCTGCTTAGCTTCCCAGACCTGATGATATCGGGCAATACCATGTGGCCATCTCTCCTTTATTTATTCCTTACCAACAGCTTAAAAAGGATATTCTAGGCAGCTGCACAATGCAAAGGATTTAAGTCTGAAACCGTTTTCAAGATAGGAACTAGTATTAATGCATGGCTGATCGATTCTTTACCACAATGGTCATTCAGCGATTTATAGATCTCGGAGTACAGCTTAAAAAAGAAAATGAAAAAGGATCTTCATGTTGAGTTTGTATTTCTGTTGTGTAAGTAAAGGGTTGATGCTAGCAGCCCAGCTTTGCAGAATGCTTTGTAGGATTGGGACCTGGCCTGATCTACACATGCAGCAGAAGGAAATGATTGAATGGGCTGTACGACTTCAGGCTGTAAATGCCTCTTTTGCATTCTCTTAAATATAAGAAAAAACCCTTTGGGGGAAAAATGTCTGATTCGGCCATCTCATTGCTGTATTAGTTTTCTGGTAGAGTGCAGGGTGTTTTTTTTTGGTTTTGTGGGAGACACCATTGCAAACTACCATCCTTCTCCTGCGGCCAGGATAAGGGAAAAATGAGGGCTGTTTAGAATTCATATTTTATTCTTGGGATCTTTCCTGTTTTTCAAGAGTTGTAGGGTAGCCCTGACCTGGATAGCCCTGGCAAGCCTGATCTCATCATATCTCAGAAGCTAAGCAGGGCTGATCCTGGCAAATACTTGGAGGGGAGACCTCCAGAGAATACCAGGGCTGGGAGGCCAGAGGCAGCCTATCAAGCCACTTCTCCGAATGTCCTCCATGCCCCAGTAGGAGTCGCCAGAGGTCACCATGACTTCCAGAAAAAGGGAAAAAAAGTTCTAGGGTGGATGAGTTACTTTGGGTTGTGCGTGAAGTCAAGCTCATGGCCCAGAGAGGAAGTTAATTTTCTGACTGCAGTGTGTTCATCCAAGAGAGCAGAAGAGGGTAACAAAACTGAATCGCAGAGTCTAGCCCTGGAGACTGGGGGTGAACATCTTGATAGTTTCGGGTTCAAGAAGAATCAGAGTCTTGAGAACTCTGTATTGACTTTTTAAAGTTACTGTGGCTCTACTGTTGCTTTACGATTCAGTAGTCTGCAATTTGAAAGAGCGGTGGAAGTAATATCTGTGTGTTCTCAATGAACTCTGGTTTGGGAAATTGTATAAGCCTGTGCCAGGAGTGGTTCAGTAGGAATTCTCATGGATTGGTGGCGATAGTTGTTTAGCATGTGGCAAAATCAGGGCCTCGGTGTAAACTTACCAATGCTGATAAGAAAAATCTCCCTGTTTGTCCAGCTTTAGTAAATAGATTTCCAAAGTAGATTTCCAAACATATCAAGATATTACTTATAATAGGAAATAGTTATTTTTCACTCTAACTGGGGTCCTTATCCAAGTTTTAGGATCCCTGTAATTGGGGGGGGGGAGAGAAATAATTCTGGTTAGCCTGCATTAGTATCTCAATGGTAACTGGAGATTAGTGCTTAACCACAATTGCTGGTTAGAGAAGCTGGCGAGGAATGAGGCATGCCCACAAGCTTGGTTCATGCTAAAGGTAAAGGTTCCCTTGCTCGAAAGCCAGTCGAGTCCGACTCTAGGGTTGCGGTGCTCATCTCCGTTTCAAAGCCGAAGAGCCAGCGCTGTCCGAAGACGTTTCCGTGGTCATGTGGCCGGCATGACTAAACACCAAGGCACACGGAACGTTGTTACCTTCCCACCGAAGTGGTACCTATTTATCTACTTGCAATTTCTTGCTTTCGAACTGCTAGGTTGGCAGGAGCTGAAACTAGAGACGGGAGCTCACTCCGTCATGCGGCACACTTGTGTCTCGAACTGCTGAACTACTGACCTTCCACAGCCTGCAGTTCAGCATCTTAACCACTTGAGCCACTGCAGCTCCTTGGTTCATGCTTATTTGTCCTTAAATGTGGTTGCAGGTGGTGTCTGAATGTAGCTTAGATCTTAGATCTTTATTGGTTTGTGCATGGGGACAAGCTTGTGTAATTTCCTGGTGCTGATGCAGCTGCTGATAAAAGCACAGCAGCAACAGGTCTTCTGCCAGGCATTGGCAGTTGCCATCCACTAGGTTTTTTCAGGTTTTTTTTTAATGGCAACTGAATATTGTTTTTATCAGTGTAATGTTATAAGAATCTTCATATGAAGTTCATTGGATCCCCAGATTTCATTTTTAAAAGAGTAAATCTATAAACCCTTTCTTTGGGGAGATAAGCCTTTCTGCTTGTATCTCCACAATGAGAGGGGCTGGAGACTTTTTCTTGAAATGAAAGCTGGGAATTTAGCGAACCTGGTATGCAGATTGTACCGATGTTCCATCGATATAACAACATTCATTTGCTGATCAGAAAGCAAAAAGGCACCCTCCCCCACCCGCTGGTGGGGTGGGGATGGGGAAAAATGGCTGCTCTGTGGGTGGGAATAGGAAAATCCTAACTTTCCCACCTACAGGCAGGCATGGCTTTCCCAGGGTTTGGGAAAGATTGAAGAAAAGCCAGGGAGATCCTGGGAGGTGCACAAATGCACTATGATGTGGGGAAGGATGAAATAAACCTGCTTCTCAAGTGTATTGAACTGGGGGGCAAATAACCCATGTGGAAATGGCCTTTGGTATGTCCTTTACCTGGAACACAAACCCTGACATTCCCTGTTCATGCTTTAAGGTGCTAAAAGCAGTATGAGAAATAGTTCCAGAGAAAAGAAGGAAGGATGTAGAATGAGGCTTCTTATAGCTTTCTGCATTTAGACCAAAGCAGTCATGCTCACGAATTCCACACCCACTTTTGTGCAGATGAGCAGAAGAATGAACATGACCTGCGTATTGGTAGGCTTCAGATGTGTATGCCAGAGCTCTGCCAAGGGTGGAACTAGACAAACTCCCCAAACTGACAGTTATAGTCAGAAATGGCATTTTGATGTCTGCCTCTTAACATGCAATGATGGAATTGCATGATGCAACATCTTAGTGTGTTTTCCTAACCCCTCATTGGTTACCACTGGGAGAGGGTGGTAGCATGGAAAAGCTAGAGCCTTTATTGAGGGGTGGGGTGGCAGAAAGAGAGCCATTTGGCCCAGGCCTCACATCCACAGAGGGCTTCAAATGTAGACTTTTGATGTTATATCCAAATGAGTTTCTACGTACAGTTGCAGAGATGGGTTTGAAAGAAGATGTTCATCATGCAACTATAAACTTGCGTAAACATTATGCCACATTTTTGTCACCTTGTTTTAGCATTTCTTAATTCTTTAATAAACTGGGTGTCTTAAAAAATGGAAGTGGCCCATGCCTGCCTTGGTCCCTGAGAGGCCCTGGGAGAAACACTGCTGGGATGATGTCACGTTGCTTCTTTCTGTTGCTACATGTTATGAGAGAGAACGGGTGGGGCTGCATTTTGGGTAATGTCTCATTCTGTCCTTGGTGTTGCCTACACATACAAAATCCCACAAAAATCATTATGTAGCTCACTCTACTCTGAGGTGATTAACGAAAAGCAGGAGCAATGCATTAGTGCTAATTAACATGTACAAATGGATAGGTTGTGTATGGTCTTTAAAACAGTGTTACTGTAAATCTCTTCTCTTTTTTAAAATAAATCTTTTGTTTTACTGGGAACTCTGCTTAATTTTTCCCCCTTTTCTTTTTTTGCATCTGAGGAAAATACCAGTGGCTGTTGGCTCTGCTTCTTACTCCCTGTTGAGGTTATTAATGAGCTGAAGCAAAACTGCTGACTAATATTCTCTGGCATGGACTGCTGGAGGGGTGATAGATCAGGATTGGAAACAAGTGCT